TAATTATGCTAATCTCCTCTAGCGTGCATGAGCAGCTGGATACGAACAGGTGAATTTACGCAGCTCATTTACGCACTTTTCCTGAAGATAGAAGAGTTTGTTGAATCTGACGTGACATGTTCGTACGAACCCTTCGTACGAACAAAAGTAAGAGAAATTTAGGATAAGAATACGAACATGTTCTTGCATGAGGCCCATTGAGTCTAAACACACTGCTGAAGCAACACTCCATCAATTAAATATACTGGAATGGTCAAAACTAAGACCTTGATACAAGTGAGAATCTCTGGTTTGAAGTAAAGACTGTTGGACACAAGCATGAGCCTTCCAAGCTGTAGGAACTGCAGCTCGGTCAAGAAGAACAAAGCAAATTTCCATTAGCAAGATGAGAGGTTTGGAGTGCTGAGTACATACCATATTATTAATCTCAAGTATTATTTTAGGCTTATTACTTCTAAAACAGAAAATAAAATCAAACTAAGAACTGGGTTGTAAGGCAACAAAATAGAAACATTATTGTGAGAGATGGATACTTTTACAAGGCACTTTATTAGAATTTTGTAATTCCACAATAACACCCAGCTCACTCCTCTTCTTTTATTCACTCCCTCTTTCTGTCACCAACACATTTTTATCGTTTCCAGAAACTTATTTCAAGCCAGGCAAGTTGAGACATGTCCTTTATCTGTGGTGCATTACAAAGCAAATAGAAAATCACTGGCAAAGCTTTTGAAATATGTATATAATTAATTTAAATAATCTTTATTGTTAAGTTTTACAATATCAGCTACTACCACACAAAATCTTAGCTTGAGATCCGTACGGCTAACTGAGTTTCAGCCATGTTTCTGTTTGCTAAGGCTGATTGGCTGGGACATCAGCCATGACTCCAGAAGTCAAACAGTTGTAGCTGTACATCCCATAATTACTTTGTGACAGTTTCATTGTAGTTGTTCATGAGATATTTTGCTATCAGACAAACAGGGTTGATTCCAACAGTTAATGCAAAAGTTGCAAGCAGTAAATCTCATTCGGTGTGCAGCACTCAGAGTTTGTGAGTAACTTTTTTGCTATTATTACACCGGAGTTGAGCTCACCGTCAAGAAACGTGACTGAATTATTGTCATTAATGTGTTTCTGAAAGTCTGTTGGCTTTAGCAGTCATTTTAGACTGGCTTGACTCCAAAAGTTAGTCTGTTTTAGAGACGCAACAAATAATGCTTTCACTAGAAATTCTCTAAAATTTCACAAGCTGTTCATGAGATATTGTGTTAACAGATGAACGCAGAGTCAAATGCATAACTGATTTTGGGACTTTTTAATGACAGATTACAAAAGTGTTGCAACAAGCACAAAGTTTGTCACAAAATGTTATTGTAAATTGAAGTATTTATTTTAGGTTGCTTTTGCTTTCTTTTTTGTTTTCAAATTTATTAGAAAAAATATTTAATACTTGCTTAAAAAAAAAAAGCAAATATCCAACATAAATAAGAGTGTTTTAGAAAAATGCAAGGAGTATAGGTGAGATGCCAGGTAATTATGACATGACAATATACTTAACAAATATAATTTTAAACATATTAAAGGAGACACAGCTTTCAAATCCTTGTTTTTCACATTTAAATCATTCAGTTGGGGTCTATATAAATAGAACTGCAATGTTTTGGTCTGATTTCCTCCTTATTGTAACTCCACAAGCCCCTCTTTCACCCCTTTTCTGAGGTGTGAGGCTGTCTTTTTAATTTGAAAAAGGCACATCACAGGCCACCCCCTTCCAGCTTCCAGACCGGTCCACTCCAGTCCCATAAAAGTGTTTACGGCTATCTAGCAGAACTTTTTATTTACAAATTAATTAAAAGATGTCAACAAGGGAAGACTTGTTAGGGCTCTAGATTATGACCAGTTGGTTCACAAATTCGTAATAGTCCGAAAAGACAAAAATTTTCGGTTCAAAGGGGGAGATGGAGCGGTCACCCGCCGACACGTCTCCATGTTCCGTAATAAAATCAATACCCTCCCGCGTGCGCACACGCACGCACGCACGCACGCACACACACACACACGTCAAGTATACAGAAACAATAGTTTTTTTGTTTTGTTTTGTTTTTCAAACCTAAGTCCAAAAAAACTTTTTTTTTTTTAACTGTGGAGATGAAAGGTGAACGGTTGCTTGCTCTTAAGTCCATCTTGCTAATTTAACAGTTGGTTTGTCCTCTGGAGCGCAGCAGATCATTTCAGCAGCACGAGGAAGCGCACATGTATGGCAGGCTGTTTTTACACTTAATCAGCTTCACCACAATTACATTCCAGGTATCTTAAATTAGTTTTATGACTATACATATTAGTTATTTAAGTGAGAGATAATGCTAATTGCAGATTTTTTTCATGTACTGTAATTTTTTAGTTGAAATAAGCTTAAAATAAGTTTATTTAAAATAAGTTGTACGCCCTTTTAATAAATACTTGTAATATTTCTGCTGTTAATCATTATTCTCTGTTCATCATTTTGGTTTAGTCATGGCCACAAGAAGGCCAAACTGCAAGAGTTGTCCATCTGAGGGGCATGTGTAGTCTAAAACAATGGTTCCCAAACTTTTTATCTTCTGACCCATAAAATATTCATGGCAAAAACTTGTGACCCCAAATATTACTGGTCTCAGTACACAAAGTTTGTTAATAACCCTATAAACACAGGCTTTTTGACAATCTAAACAGCTTCTACACAAATATAAATACTTATTTTTACTTTTTGTGTTTTTGTAATAATTATAGGGAAAATATTACATCAGCAATTATTTTATWACCCTTTAAATTGATTTCTGAGATTATCCAAGGTGCTTCATGAACCATAATTGGGTTCCAAGCCCAACTTTGGGAACCAAAGTGCAGTGGTTCCCAAACTTTTCAGCTTTTGACCCACAAAATAACAGTAGCAGAGACCTGAGCCCCCAGCTATTTTTGGATGATAAACATTTGTATCAGGTCAATAAAACATGGGCGTAGTAACAATATTTTTTATACTACATTTATCCATTTTAAATATACTAACCTCACTCCTTTGTAACAACTAAGGCAAAAATGTGATTAATTCAAAAAATCTTTTCAGGACCCCACCTGGATGTTTCGGGACCCCACTTTGGGTCCCGACCCCAACTTTGGGAAACACTGGTCTAAAAGACAGTTAACCATGAAATGTTCAGTTTAAGATGTTTATAAGATATTCAGCCCTTAAACATTTGCATTTAGAATTTCTTTTTATTTAATTTATCTTGAGATGTTTAAGTTAACATTTCATAGAATCAATTTAAATACTTTTCTGTAAGTTATATTTCTTGTACAATTCTGGTTCAGATATAGAACTTAATGTTCACTAGACTGTTAACTAATTATTTGTAATTTAATATTGCCATAATGGACAGTGATTTAAATAAATAAAGCGAACCAGTAAAACTGCGATGTTAAATGCGACTCAGCTGAAACTTTGGGTGCACCTAACGTTTGTGCTGGTGCACCTTTGAAAAAAAAAGTTAGGCACATTGATGCAACCAGTGCAAAAAGTTAGTCTGGAGCCCTGCTTGTCCATCCAGCCTTACATGTTGGAGCCAGAGTCTGACCAAATCGTAGTTAGTAAGTGAGGACCTTGATTGGCATTCTGTTGCAAATAATTTAATGTATCATTTTAGAAAATGTCATTGAAAATAAAATAAATAAACAGAAAAAGATATCTATGCAGCACCGGAAGAGACTAAATGCAGCTTTTCTGCACTCCTCCAAATACAGAACAAAATGTAAAGCAGCTAAAAAAGTGGAATTTGTATATGTTTCATTTAAATACTTTTTAAAATAAGAAAAATTCTGTGTGATTCTTGACGTTTCTATTTTGTTGTTATTCTCACAAACGTCCTCAAATCATAAGTCAATTAGTTCCCTGGTTCCTGTGTTAACTATGTTCTCCCCGGGTTAATAATGAAAGTCATGAAAGATGTTCGGCTCTCACTTCAAATGTTTTTTAAAACACGTTTTGAAAATTATTACAGATCAGACACCATACCTGGGGGGAAACAGGGATCTGGGAAACATCCCTCAAATCTTACCTGAAACATTCGAGACGCAGCTGAAGTGCAAAAGGTCCTGCTTCATACTCCTGTCCGTCCATCACTGAGGCAACGCTCTCAGAGTCCTCAAAAATGACAGCTACCTCACTGTCACGTTTACCGAGCATGCTCCGGTCGTTGATGTTAGCAGAACCTGCAATAAAATCAAATAACATAAAATAAAATAAAATAAAATAACTATATATACTCCTCAGGACCACCAGGTGGCATCAGAGAGCCAAACAACAACAACACTGCAGCACATTTTTTAGCTGTACACATGGCGAGGGGCAGAGAAAGGAAAGCCAGACTCTTCATTTTGCTTTTCGTACATTTTGTTGGTGTCAAAAGAAGAAGATGACTTTTTCGAATAGCAGCTGAAGAAAATAACACAGGAAGGAAGAGTGGCAGAAGGTGTGACAAGAGATAGACCAACCGATGATGACTGTGTTGTCGTCAGCGATGAGCATTTTGCTGTGGACGTAGATGAGCTCTGTGACGAGGCGTCCCTCCAGCTCCGCGTGGGTCCGCAGACTAGCGAAGGAGATGTAGTTCATCCACTGATCATCCACTTCATTAAAGCACAGGACAATATAAGACAGAGTCAACATGTTGATACTTTTAAGTCTCTAAACTTAACATAAAGCATCAAAAATATTTAAACTCATTAAGGGTGCCAATGCAGAAGCTTTGAAGCATCACTGTCTTTATCTTGTTGCACAGTCTTATTATAATATTTAGCTAAACATAAAAACATGTTATTCTCTACAGCACTGAAAATGAAGGGTCGTTTTAACTAATTTAATCTCCTACATAAAACAGCGTAAAACATGAAATTCTTGTAATATTCTGCAGCTCACACTTCAATGTTTGTAAGATCCAACTTGGTTTCATACAGCGACTGTTTTAGGCTCATTTTCAGCCTCTTTCTGCCTCTCATTAACTTGGCCATCAGGGAGTGACAGGTGCGTTATTACCATGACGACCCTAATAAGCTGCTGATATCAGCTTTAACATTTTTTTAGATCTCAATTTTCTCTACACTCTCTATATAGTAGTTTTTCTATATTTTTATATCAAAATCTAGTTAATTTTTCTTAGCTTTGACCAACATCAGCATCTTTTTTCACCACAAAAGAAAGGACTAGCTTCAGCAGGTTTCCTGTCAATTTGTTCACATATGTGATCAATACACAGAAGGGAAACGTGCTGATTAGATCGTGCCACTTTATTGGGGACTTTATTAAACCAACTTCCACCATTAAAGGATGATCTATCTCTCAAATCCCCTGGGATTTTATTTTTTTAAATACCTTTAAGAAGAGTTGTTGAGAAGAAATATGGTGAGACAATTTAAAAACATATGCCTGCAAATATCAGTGTTTGAATTTGTATTCAATTTGCTATAAACTACATATTTTTGCTTATTTACTTGAAAATGGTATTTTCTTTTATCCTAAAGAGTAAAAATAATAATAAATGTAAAAATCACTGTTTATTTTTAGTTTTATAAAGTAATTCTCACTGGGCAGAAAAGGCACCTTCAACAGACTCAAAGTGGCCCATGAGCCATCAGTTGATAATCACAGCTGTGTCACATTTCATGACTCTGGACACATTTTATTTGTGAACAAAGAGGTAGAAATGGCTCTTTTGGTTGTAAAGGTTGCAGACGTTTCAGTTCAAGACACTAGCTGCATTGGCACCCGGCCGTCAACATGTTTTGAGAAATCCTGCAGCACTTTACTTACTCTCCTTCTTCAGCTGGGTGATGATGGAGTATTCTCCTCGGTTCATAGTTCTGAGAAAACAAATCGTTGTTGTTGCACAAGCGGCCTTAACTTAAAATAAACCAATGTTATTACATCTTGAAACTACTCCTTAATTTTCTTTCCTTCTTCCACTTTCAGTAATAAAATCAGTTTTATTCAAGGCTCGTGGGGGCGCACCTGTAGTTGAAGTGCATCACAGCTTGGATGGCGTTTCCTCCCCCGGTGGTAATGTCTCCTTCAAAGCCAGGAAGCAGAGGCGTGACCACGTACACACGGTACTTCTTCCCTTCCCTGGAAGTGAAGGACACATGGCTTACTTATTAAAAAATATTCTGAAATGGACTATGTGAGAGGCAGAAGAACTGGAACAACTTGTGCTGTCCATGTATGGCACATAAAGCAGGGCTACATGGTTTGTAAATTATCTTCCACTTCTACAGTTTGCAGAAAATGATTTAAATCAGGATAAGTACTTATGGGCTCTGATGATCCTTTCAATGAGGGCGTCACCGATCTTGTTGTAGACCGTCTTATTGTCTGCACAAGTGATGAAGAACTGATTCTGTGTTAAGAACAAAGTAAAATATAACATTTTTATGCTTCTTAATGAGTCATTATTAATATTCGCACGTACAGCGTGTAAAATAAGAATTGAACACGTCACCATTTTTCTCAGTAAATATATTACTAGAGGTGCTAATGACATGAAATTTTCACCAGATGTTGGTAACAACCCAAGTGATCCAT